AACATAAATAATTAGTACTGATTCTTCATTTAAGATTTTTAGTCAGAAGAAAAAAACAATTTACTGCTGACAGAAGAAATATAAAACCACACAGTTTTATCCTATTTTTTTTAAAAAAAACAATCAAGACATGTAGGCAACAGGAGATTACATGTATGTTGATATGATCTCAAACCAACAAACAAATTATAGAAAAATTCTGTACATAAAAATGAAACTTATAACTTATGGTGGGAAAAATGATAGACTTAAACCTATATTGCATATTCCACAGTTTCACATTGAACACATACATTAAAATTTTATATGTAAAATAACATTTTTTGTACGGGAAAAAACATTATGTTTAACCATGGAAGGTACTATCGGAAGGAGCCACGACGCTATTGTTTTAGCTTTACCCTATGATTGTTTGTCAATGTTTGTTTACAAACATTGGTTCTCGCTAGCTCTTAGCACCTTCTTACAATGGATTACGCTAATCTCAAGCATTCGATAATATTCAGAGCATGTTCGGAAGCGATAGACAAACTGCACATGCACTAGACTAAAAATGACGTCTAATTTGAATACTGTCGTTTCAGGAGATTTAGCAGATATAATCGATTGAAGAAGAACTGATGAATTATCGCGAATCTTTTTGTGTTTGTAATGGTAATGATCAATGATTGCCTGTGGCAATAATGATTGCATTATTCTATGGTACCATCAGTGCGTGAGTTTGATGCCCAAAACTGGGCATCGGTGAACACCACCAGAAAAGATAATATCAAAAGAAGGGCATGCCTAGACACTTTCTCTGCAATAATAATTTTTAGTAGTCCTTAGGAATTTTTGTTGTGGACGCTTGAAATCTTATTCTTGTTACAGTTGCTAATAATTAAAATGTGTGAAATCTTTAAAGTCAAACGTCAAATCTGTTGAATTTCCGTTTGTGAAATGTGTATTTTGACCTTTTACACCTAAACAAACCCAGTGCGCATGTGTCAATATTTTTACCAGGTGAGATGGGAAAAATTTTGATTAAAAGAATACTTAAGGCATGGTGGTCGTCGCGCAGCGGGTGTTCGAATTTTATATTCTACACGCATTGTATACATCGCTATGAGTCCCATATCTAACAGGACGCGACACAACGACTGTCGCCCTTTGAACTTCCTTCATCTGCATACATACATACATTGTACATACAGAACAACAGTAAGAGTCCTCTGATTACTGGTTTTAATTATCATTTCTGATCAAAATAAACAGCAATGAGGTCATCAGTAATTATAAAACAATCTGCATGTCCCTCTATTAATATTACATGAACAATATTAATCCCAAAGTTCCTCATAGAATTGTATGAAAGTACTCAATACGATAACATATCTAAGCAAAATCAACAAACATTTTCACCCATATCTTGAAAAGTATACATGTAAACCATGACACTCCAAAATCAAAGATGATAGGGCACCACAAGAAAACAGTTTACAACAAGAGAAGAAAAACAATGACAACAACACCAGACGTTCATTCATATACTTTTCCCACACACTATGATAGGGGCAAGATAAATGTAATATAACATGTGTGAGGTAACAACTTACCATGCCGGGGTTGTACTCTTGCAACGATAAGTCTTCTATCACATCATCACCATCAGAGAAATTTACAGTACTATCAGCCTGCAAAGAACATAATATGTAGAAATTTATACAAGGAAGCAAAGCACAAAATATACCGGTAATATTCTGTTGATTATTGCATATTCCAAAACATATGCCCTAATGCTTAGGTGCTCTCTCAACAATGACGTTCAAACTCTAAGGATGATTGACACCATTAGGGGGAACCATTGTCACAGAGCATCATTTAAAATCTATGACAATTCAATCAGAATTTCAGAGTAAAAAAAGAAAGAAAGCTTAGAAAGAACTCCCATGTGCTGAAGATATTGTAGGCATGAAGTTAGCACATGTGCTTCTAATACAGCAAATGCTGCATTTAAAAGTTTTATAATTGCAAGTAATGAACAGTGTGGTTCCAGGAAGCTATGGTTTAACAATTATAAATAATTAATGACCATATATGAAGACTTGATATTTTTGGTCATATATTTTGTCAGACAACAAAATTATAGCACCAGTTGCATGTCCTAATCATATTATTGAGGTTACATGGCCATATATAGTCATCTGAAACTCCATTGATTTCAACCGAAAAAAATAATCACAGTTGCACATTATCTAGAGCATCTATGTGCCATGTTTCATTGAAATCTATTGAATGGTATTTAAAAATGAGTCAGTGAAAATGCTTAAAGTTAGCTAATTATTATGCTGATTAAGTCAGTAATATGCACAGGATTTCAATTAAAAACGAATCAGGTCTGCGCAATATCCCAGGGCATCTATGTACTAAATTTCATTGAAATATAATGTTGAATAGTACATGAGAAAGTTGACTAATTACTATGCAAATTAGGTGATTAATAGGCACAGACTTTTACCTAAAACTAATTAGATATGTGCATAGTCCTGGAGCATTTATGTATCAAGTTTCAATGTAATGTAATATTATGATCAGTACTTAAGTTATAACTGAAAAAGCTGAAAATTGACTAATCATTATGCAAATTAGGTAATTAATATGCACAAATTTTTACCCACAACTAAGGACTGCGCATTGTCCCAGAGCATCTATGCATCAAGTTTCATAAAAACCAACATATGGTTTTTAAGATATCAGTGGAACAGACGGTCACACACACATACATGTCTTACCACCGTTGTAACGATACACATTGAATTAACTTTCAATATACCGGTACTTGCGTTATGTTTGGATTAAAATGCAACTTTACATAGGGTTGCATTTTGATTGGAGTTTAATCAAACTCAATTACAATGCATTTCAGTTTAGTAAAGGGGGTAGGTACATTGTATTGTACAATTATATTAAATATAAATTGTACCATACCTTCCCCCTTTACCAACCCTAAGCTATGCAAACTTGACTTAAAATTGATTAAATATTAATATAAATTATGAAAATAGTGTGGGTCGTGACTTGGTAGGTGTGTCACTAAGTAGTTGTAAAGTTAAATGAAAGTAGACATAACGTTGACACCAAAAACGCACACACATATTCAGACAGACAGACTGCAAATTTCATTGTGTGCTTCATGCACAGGAGTAAAAAAAAAAAACTTGTCTTGTATTTCATTACCCATTCAGTTGTTTCACTTGTAATTCCAGCCACAGAACAGGTTGGTAATGGGGTTTGAATACACACCATTCACAGAGGAAGTATATACACACATGTATGTAAATGTATAAAATACACATAATTGTGAATAATTATCTTACATACCTCAGTATCTGCAGTACTTCTTGGCGTATGTGGCGGTTCACTGCGCGGGGTTAGCACCGGACTTGCAGACCTCTTGTCTTGTTGTAGTCGTGGTATTTTACTGTCAGTAAAATCAATGTTAGATCCTTGCTTACTGCTAATGCTTGCAACACTTTCTTTGGAAATGGCTCTTGGAATGCGACTTTTACCTGAAATGATTACAAACTGTTTTAATAGTTGATTGATCCTCAAGGGTTTGACAGTCATGTACTATAATCAAATTGTTGCTGCCAGAAATGTTTTTTCTTGTTTCATACGAGAGCGTATGTAAGAATATAAAGACAAGGTGATTCATCTACCGGTATTTTAAATTCTATAAAATTTACTTTCTCTGAGTCACAAAAATAATAGTCCCACAAAACTAAAGCGTTTTACATTATGGTGGATATCATGCAGTATAATCTGTATATCATTAAATAGAAAAGTCTATACTGCAATTTTTTGACGAGCAATGGATTGCACACTAAAAATAGTGACTTCTCTTCCATTCTCTTTATCTGGTCAATTCTCCACACTAGATATTATAGACATACCTGCTCCAGTAGTGCTGGCTGACTCTGTGTCGGACCCCTTTACATATTTAGCAAGATTAACACCACTTGGCATCTAAAGGGAACAGAGAGAGAAACAGACATGAAATCAAATAAAACTG